TATTTTGAAAAAGAAGATTTAAAAAAGTACATAATAAGCATCTAAGTACCAGGCGTTACCAGTCAAAAATGAGAAGTGATAATTGGATGGTCAGATGAAGAAGACAGACATGCAGGAATAAAACTGTATTAACGTCTTACCTTATATATGGCAGTGTCAGTAGATATTGTCTTACTCTTGAAGTTATCATCTAAAATAAGACCAAATATGATTTTAAAACATAAAGGTAACTGAGTAAAACACCTCCAAACCCCTAGAGACATAAAAGGAGCATGTAAATTCACTCTAGTGGGGAAAGTCTACGAAAAAGGAGGGAGGAGGAGTGTAAGGAAAGAATAAAAATGGAAAGTATAAGAAAAGAGTATGATCAACAGTTATGCTATTAAATAGAAATTGAAGATATAAATAATATAATCTGAATGTGAATAGTATATTTTTTTTTAATTTTTATTTTTTTTAAGGTTTTTATTTATTTCTAGGAGAGAGAGAGACAGCGTGAGCAGGGGAGGGTCAGAGAGAGAGGGAGTCACAGACTGAAACAGGCTCCAGGCTCTGAGCTGGCAGTCAGCACAGAGCCCGACGCGGGGCCCTAACCCACGAACCGCGAGATCATGACCTAAGCGAAAGTCGGACGCTTAACCGACTAAGCCACCCAGGTGCCCCTGAATAGTATATTTTTTTAATGTTTATTGAGAGAAAGCAGCAGAGTGTGAGCAGGGGAGGGCCAGAGAGAGAGGGAGACACAGAATCCGAAGCAGGCTCCAGGCTCTGAGCTGTCAGCACAGAGCCTGATGTGGGGCTCAAACCCACCAACAGTGAGATCATGACCTGAACTGAAGTTGGGTGCTTAACCGACTGAGCCACTCAGGTGCCTCTTGAATACTAACTTTTAAAATGGGATTTGCCTTTAATACCTTTATTGTCTAATTTTCATGTGTAATTGTTTTTCTTAAGCTTATCAAAGAAGGCAGTGTTCATCCTAACTTTTGTAATTTTACAGAACTCTCTTGCATGTGTTTCAAAAAAAGGCACCTTGCTTTCTGAGATTTCCTGGCTCTGTTTCCTTCTCCCACTTTTTTCTGTGCCTTATTTTTCCATCGTTGCTCATTTTTCATTCTACTACCAGTAATTTATCCCCAGTATGGAGCTTTGTCTGGAAGGGGCCCCTGGAAGGTCAGCTTTGGGAGTTCACAGTGGGTTACAGTGCACTGGCCCCTTTAGTGCCAACCATGGATTCATTGTATGGACTCATTCTTGGAGTGGCCAGAACCCCTCCTAGTCAGCTGACATTCTCAGATTTGTCTGCACCCCTTTCCGTTGTTACCTGTTGTTGCCTGTCGTGTGTGTTCTCCTGGTTTTGTCTCCCAAATGCCCTGTTGTCTTTCTGATTCTTCCTGCAGAAGTGCTGATGCCAATTGCCAATCAGATCTTATGGCTCTTGGTAGTTTTCCATGCCTTTTTGTATTTTGGTGATATATATATGTATATCACCACAAAACAAGGTAGCAAAGCCAAAAACCCATTCACAACAGAGCTCTTTATTTGCATAGTTGGCTGTGTTTTCATGTGCAGAACTTGTGGAGATTTTTCAAAACCTGTGCTGATACCACTGCTGTCATGTTCTCTTTTTTTAATTATTATTTGAGAGAGAAGGAGGGAGGGAGAGAGAATGTGACCAGGGGAGGGGGGAGAGGTAGAGAATCTTAAGCAGGCTCCACACTCAGCATAGAGCCTGACATGGGGCTCTATCCTACAACCGTGAGATCATAACTTGAGCTGAAATCAAGAGTTGGAATCTCAACCCTTAATGCTTTTATATTCTTACCATCTGGGTTCCCCTACTGCTGTCATTTTCTTAGGTGTTAAAACAATCTCCCTGTAGAAGCTCCCTTCCAAGGTTAGGTTCACATGTCAAAATTTATGACGGTAGTGCTTTGGTATGACTGAACAAAGATTTATTACCCACACAGGTGGGGGAATTTTTGAGACAGGGGCAGAGGACAGCTTTCTGGGAAGAGGTCCAGAAACAGAGAAAGTGAATGCAAGTGCACAGGTGTTCTATAAAGGATAAGTCCAGTTGGTGCAGAATTTAAAAGAGGCATGGAATATGAAAGAGAGAGCAAATGGCTCACGTACTTGGGGTATTGGTGGGTTGAGTCCTATCACTACACTGCTGATAATGACAGATACAGGGAAGGGATGACCCTCAGAGGTTGCCAGCACTGAATCAAAACATCAGCAGGGGTCTCCGTCTTTCCTTTGGTCTTCATAGTAGAGATCCATTTTTTAACTCCTGTTATTGTTGTGATATACTGCTGAAGAACTGGGCTTTGATCTTGCCTGCCATGTTTGTTCTTGGTACCGTGATTAGTTACTTGAAGAAACTTACGTTTCCAGGGAGAAACCAAGAGGTAGGCCTATTTAGTAATTCCAACCAGGAGATGAAACGTGAAGCTACTATGTATTACCTCCACTTTGAGTAACAAGTCACTGTTGATTGAATGAATCAATACATGACCAGTGAACATGTTAAGAATCAGTGAGGAGCACCTGGGTGGCTCAGTCAGTTAAGGGACCGACTTTGGCTCAAGTCCTGATCTCATAGCATGAGTTCGAGTGCTGCATTGGGCTGCCTGACAGCTCAGAGCCTGGAGTCTGCTTCGGATTCTGTGTCTCCCTCTCTTCTCTGTCTCTCTGCAGCTTGCATTCTGTCTGTCTGTCTCTCTCAAAACTAAACATTAAAAAAAAAAAAAAAGTGATAACCTTCTGAACTCTGCTTTCTGTTCAGCTCTGTTAATTATATATATCACTTACAATATCTAATTTTATCAAACATTTACTGAGTGTCCAGTCATTCCACCTAATTTGTGCACAGTGAGATCCTGGGAATATAAATAAGCCAGTCTAGTATTTACTTGACTCTAATGTGATATCGATTATAAGAACTTTTTGTTTACAAACTAACACATGAAATGTACAACTTCAGTTGTAAAATGTTACCCCATCTCAGAAATATTAAAATGTTGAAAAATATATCCTACAACTGAGGGATTATTTATGAAATTCATAAAGGGCCAAGCATAATGCTAAATGCTTTTGCATATGTTGTCATTTAGTCTTTACGATAACTCAGTGAGGGTAGATTATCTTTCATTTACAGATAAAGAAAATAAAGCTTGCAGAAATGGGGTAAGTAGTTAAGTGTCAGAGGGCCATTGAACTCACGTTGATCTGATTTCTGACCGGTATATAAATCTTTTCAGTCAGTATATAAAAATGAGTGTATCTTTTGGGGAAGGTTTTTATTTTTCCTGTTTTCCTGTGTTTACTTCAAAGAGTGAATTTTAACTTTTAATTTAATGATATACAAGACTTAGAAGGGCTTTTTTCTTCCCAAAGTTTTTCAGAGATCTGATTATAGAATTTGCAGCTCTTTAAGATGGTCACTGAAATGCTAAGCAATTTAGTTGTTTTTTGTGTGTTTTTTTTACTATTCATTTTTCATTTGGGTTGCTTGTCTTTCTTGGCAGCTTCTCAGAACTCTCTTAATGTCTTACCATACTGAATTTTGGTAGATTTTAGTGTGAAATGTGTAGACCTATTTAAATTTGGACTTAAAACTATGATATCACTATAGTAAACTTAATAAAGCCATTCATTTGGAAAGTGGAAGAAGGCACCTCAGAAGTTGATATTGTGACAATTCTTTTGGGGAAGTAAGAAAGAAAAGTAATGTGCTAGGGAAGAAAAAAGAAAAATGGGAGGAGAAAATTGTGGTGATGTGGGCTGGAAGAATAGGGATGAGTTTCTAAAATAGAAAATTTGTTTGGTAAACTAGTCATGCTAATCTTGTATTCATTTTTTTAAAAATCTAGCCTGAATTTAAAACACCTTCAGCTAGGGCCGTTCCATGTGCAAAAACAGATATTAACTCTGCTTAGATAAAAATGATCTTACTGCTCTTGAATTTAGTTTAATATGCTGGTGGTCTCTTCAGTATTTGAGATCATCATGTAATGTCCAGGACCTGAAAATTGGATTATCTTTCCTAAAATATGTGATGCTCTTTATTTCTCTTCAGTTGCTTATATTTTCCATTCCTCCCTCCCAGACTATTTATAAAAATATTATATTTGATATTAGGTAAACATGAAAGAATTTTTTCTTGAATATTATTTTGACTCAGAACATGATTTGTTCATTACTCAGGAGTATATACTAATAATTCTCCCTGACACTGCCAAGTTCTGTGGGTGAGCACCGTCAGGCTCTCCGTCTTTGCTTTCATGGAGCATGGATTGCTTGTGCAACTTTGGGTTCTACTTTGTCTCACGACCACGATGCCTGTGGCAGCACTTGTTCTGTGTGCTGGGCGTCACTTGTAGAGGTTAAGTAGCCAGGAAGCAGAGAACCAGCAGAGATGGTCATTCGCTGGAGGCCAACTGGGGTTCTCAGAAACAGCTCCACCAGAACACCTTTCTAAGCCCTTTCAATTATATGTCTTTACTTTCGTTTATCAAAACCATAAATGATGGAAGAAACAGGCTCAGGTTCTTTGTTTTTACACATCAAGAAGGGGAAACCTATTGCACATTGAAAAATGCTTCACCAGGCCAACTGTAAGCCCTTGGGATTTTTCTTTTTGCCCACCTATGTCCCAACGATTTTGCCCATCTATCTCCTAATGAATTTTGTGGAAGGATGAAAGATGTGAGCCCAGAGATGGAAACTGACTGCAGTGCTAATACTTGGCGCTTCTCTCTGCTAGCTGGTAGTGAACGTGGGGCCTGTTGCCAAGTACTTGGGGGTTTTGGACACCATGAGAATATGTTCAAATTTACTCTGGGACTTATTTTTCATAAGTGTATTTGAGCTTAAGATATGTGTTACTTGGGTTCTGTATGTGTTATTGTGGACTGTAAGATTGTTTTAATGGGCAAGATCAAGTTTTGATAAAAGAAATTTTAGAAATGTTTGAGTTTTTCTCTTCTTGTTAATAGGCAGGCAGTGGTTAAAGGTTCCCTTCCACATCCTTTTGCCTTGACATTATTTGAGGACACATTGTACTGGACTGACTGGAATACACACTCCATTTTGGCTTGCAACAAATACACTGGCGAGGGTCTGCGTGAAATCCATTCTAACATCTTCTCTCCCATGGATATACATGCCTTCAGCCAACAGAGGCAGCCAAATGGTAAGTGATCTTGATTTTTAAATTGCAAGTTGGAATAGCTTTAGCACTCAGATGTCTGGCTTCAGTGAGGGCAGGAGGAGAAAGGACGTATCCAAAGGTAGTGGGAAGGAATAAAACATAGGAAAAATGTCAAAATATAATTCAGGTCAAGCAGCAGCCTAAACCATTTGCAGCTTGTTATTTATCACTGTTGGCCAACTCAGCCCTTTGTTTGGGTCTGGGATGATGGTGGTAGAGAAGAGAGAAATAAAATAAGAAACTGAGATAGCTAAGCATGTACATAAATGCATTTCTTGTTTGTATTATTTCTCTCTAATGTGTTTGGTTTTGTTCATATGGGTGTGTTTAAAAAACTTTTAAAAAGAAACCTCTGTGAATCTAACTAGTGAATGTAACTACTTCAGGTTGCCTAATAAAATACCTGTTTAAGCTTTGCTATGCACACTCCCTCTCCCCCTCTCCTCCTTTTTTCTTAGTTTTGCTTCTATTTTTGGTCAACCTTTGCAGTGACTTGAGCTTTGGCTGCTGGCAACAATTTCTTGTAAGAGGAATAGAATTAGGTTTAAAAGGAATATGAGAATGTTAAGTGTTTGGCACTTGTATATAAATAAAATGTCTGGCATTTGTCTGAGTATATTTCAGATTGTGTTCCAAAGCCAAAAATGAAGGGTTTTTGGATTATGCATTGCTTTGTATTAGTTCTGTCTGTTTAGGGGGAGATAGTCAAATATTGAATGTGTTATATTGGAATCTGGTGATCGTGAGTCCATAAAAATGTTTTTAAATGTATGGGTTGGCCTTTTGTAAAAATGTATGAATTTTTATTCCTTTCCTTAGCCTATATGAGAGAATTTCCCTGTTGTTTTTGTTTAATGGTGCTGTTAGTCCTTTGCTTTACTAGTTCGAGAATTTGCAGTTATTACTGCTTCATTTATCTTTCATATTTTGTTGGTCTCCATTTTGTGTTTTTTTTTTTGTGAATATTATTTAAGTCCATCCCTTTCCATAGTTTCTACAAGTGTGTTAATTAATCTCCACTTCTCAGTTTTCCCTCTTTTAATCTATTGTGTTGATCTTTTCCATGTTAATATTCCCACAGTATGATTTTTCAACATTCTAATTAGTTTTCTTGGCTTCCAGTGTCCTCCACCACAATTTGTTCCCATTTTCTGTGCTCACTGAGGTTTAGCTCTTATTAGTCAATAGAAACCTTAATATCCAGTTAGACTATTTGCCTTAATCTCTTACCCAGTGTACAGTCTCTAAGCTTTTATTCATAGAGTTTTACCACATTTGAAATGTCTTCCTGTCTGTCCTTCCTGTCCTTCAAGACTCCTCGTGTCCTACATCTTCAATGAAAGTTTTCTTCTTTAGTCCTTAGTAATTTATTTTCCATTTGATTCTATAATATTTAAGGTCTATAGTGTATAGCACTTAATTTCATTGTTTTTTATTGTTTCCTAATTTGTTAATTTTGTCATACAGACTAGATTGTAAGCTCTTTTAGGGCAGGGGTCTCCTGTTTATTTCTTGTGTGTTCCCTTTAGGGTACAAAATGATAAGTCAGTTCTCACTGATTAACTTCCTTCCTTGCAGATGGTTTGGTAGTCAAGCTACCTGGATGACATTTGGTAATAATTTGGTTTATCACAGTTGCTCTTGTTATGGTTGTTAACCTTTGTGTACCTAGCGTGAGGGAGGGCATTATAATCATTGGTTTTAATCAGTGTGATTTATATTTGACAGCGACAAATCCATGTGGAATTGATAATGGTGGTTGTTCCCACTTGTGTTTGATGTCTCCAGTCAAGCCTTTCTATCAGTGTGCTTGCCCAACTGGGGTCAAACTCCTGGAGAATGGAAAAACCTGCAAAGATGGTAAGAAGGCGGTCTCCAAGAAGGAAAATTTTTAGATAGCAGTTGGAATTTTTTATGATTTATTTCTCTGTAATAAGCTCTGTAGGTTACAGTGTTTGGGGAAAGTAGTTGCTTCATCTCTGCCTTCACAATTGGTTATATAACAAGGGTGTTTTGTGTTTGAGGGCATCTCTTTAATACTATTTTATAAGTTAGTATTTCAACGAAATTTTTAACATGGTGTTTTTGAAAAAGATTAGCTGCTATTTCATTTTTTAATGAAATGGCAGCCATTGATATCACAGCTGATCCTTGTGAAGATGAATATTACTTTTCTTAAAGTATTTTTAACAGTAGGCTGCATTTGAAAATGAAGGACCTCAGTGCAAAGAAACAGTGTTTATTAAACTTCCAGCTATAAAGACTATCATGGGGTAGATATATCTTCTAAAAGTTTATTGAATGCTATTTTTAATTGCCTTTTAACAACAGAAGTGCTTTTAGAAGAAGAAGAAAAAAATCCCTTTTCTCCTGTTTAAAGCAAACAACACCCTCTTTCTGTACTTAACCACTGCCACTTCTGCTTACGCTCTCAATTCCCTATAGAGAGAGGGTGTATTGGAAAAGTATGTTTAATTAGGACATTTCGAGAGACCTGTGGTTTGGGAGAACACCAGTTCTTCTCTTTTTCTTGTTAATGGAACATTACTCTTCTTTCTTACCCCTGTGGATCACTATCTGGTTTTCTAGCCACCAGCAAGACCTGGTTAGAAAATTGTTATATTTAGCAGTGGCTTCTTTATCTAACTGTGAAAAGCAGAAGTCTTTATTTCAGAGTGGTTAGAGAGTTCCTGGCAAGGGGGTCAGGGAGTCAGAGAGATGGAATTGAGTTGGTGTACAGGATATTTGTCATGACTTGGCATTGATAAATTACCCTCCTAGTCAAAGGTGAAGCTGGCTGACTCTCGTCAGGTGGTTTCCATGGCAAACAATAATTTCGTTTCAATTTAAAACAAAAGGTTTTTGTTATGTTGCTTTTTTGTTTAAAAAATGTAGCCTGACTTTAAAACAGAGGATTTGTTTTAGCAATAGTGGTCTGTCTATTCCCTCACAGCAGTGCAAATGTACATGTTTAACTGGTGTTTTGAATTTTAGATGTATGTTTGGCATTTAGTTGCTTTAAGTTGACTATTCTGTTTTGATCACCTTGCTCAAATTAACTTCATTTTCTGTGACTTCTTTGCAAAGTTTGGGGCTGGCTCTTTTTGGTAGTTAGCAGAGGCAGTGAATGATACAAACTTATGCCTGCTTGGTGCCTGCTATGGTATTTGGGGCTGTATTTTCTCTAAGATCAAATTTATTTATAATTAGTTCTCAAGTCAAAAAGTTGATCTTGAGAGCTTGACTCCTCTTCATATTTTTTTGCAGCTCTAATTCTAGATTGCCTAATATCAGTGTTTTATTAAAAAAAATTTCTTAATATTTTTTCTTGAGAGAAAGAGACAGAGCATGAGCCGGGGAGGAGCAGAGAGAGGGAGACACAGAATCTGAAGCAGGCTCCAGGCTCTGAGCTGTCACAATAGAGCCCGACATGGGGCTCAAACTCATGAACCACAAGATCATGATCTGAGCTGAGGTTGGATGCTTAACTGCTGAGCCACCCAGGTGCCCTACCAGTGTTTTCTTTTAGACTCACTTCTTTGGGAATCTTTTTTCAGTCTTTCAGATGTCATCTTGCTTACTGTCTTTTATAGTTAGATGATTTTTTGCTGGTGCCTTACTTGAACATTAAAAATCAAAACAAACAAAAAAAAAGATTGAGCTTAGTGTCTTCATTCTCAGCTATGTTTTTATTGAATACTATTTTGAGTTTAAAACATGTCATAAACAAATTTGATTTAAAACTCAGTGAAATAAAAATTTGAGTGTTTTCTTTTTTACTGATAATATATTAGCTAATATTTATCAAATGTATGTTCGGTACATTCCTGAATTTTAAGTTGATCTTTTTTTAATGTTTATTTTTGAGAAGAGAGAGTGCAAGTGGGGGTGGGGGAGGTAGAGAGAGACAGGGACAGAGGATCCAAAGTGGGCTCTGGGCTGACAGCAGTGAGCCCACCATGGAGCTTGAACTCACAGACTATGATGAGATCGTTACCTGAACTGGAATTGGACACCTAACCGACTGAGCCACCCAGGTGCCCATACACTGATATTGTTTAATCCTCCCAGCATCCATGTGAGAGACAGATGAAGAAAACTAGGTTTAGAGAGATTAAGTTTCCCTAAGTTTGTATGGGAGCTTGAATCCAGTTCTGTTAGATCCACAGCTCTTATCCTTAACTGCTATGTTACATTAACTGATTCCCTCTCTTTGCTGCTCCTCTTTCCTTCCCCATAGCCTTCTTTGTTCTTAATTATGTCAGGCATTACCTATAGTTCTCTTTGCTAAAATAGCTTTACTGAAATATAATTTACATGCCATAAATTTCAGTCACTTGAAGTAAAGAATTCAGTTGGTGTGGTTTTTTTTTTTTTTTTTTTTTTTTTACTAATTTACAGTTGTGCAGCCATCACAATCTTATTTTAGAACATTCTCATCAGATACAAAAGACTTTTGTCTTGGATTTATTTACCTTTTTAAACATACTTCTTGAACAAAGGACCTATATCCTATGACTCCTTCCTCCTTCAGGATTCAACTTCTTCTTAGTCATTACTTAGTCATTATTCATTATACCTTTAAGTAACTGTTCTTCATTTCAGGGCCTATATAACAAATGAAAATAGAGAAGGAATCAAAACTTGATTTGGAGAGCTGAGCCATCACAGAGCTTGGCCTTATAGTCAGGCTATATTCCTAGTTCACTGTGTTACTTTCCATTTCCACTCTAAGTAGACCTGGAGTATCTTCTTTTGTACTCCTTTACTTTTCAATTCTTGAAGAAGTTCTGCATTCTTTATTTGGAATGACTAAATTTTGCCTGTGGGTTTCAGTTTTTTTCTTCTTTATTTCACTTTGTTGTTCTAGGTGCCACCGAATTACTGCTTTTAGCCCGAAGGACAGACTTAAGACGCATTTCTTTGGATACACCAGATTTCACAGACATCGTTTTACAGTTAGAAGACATCCGTCATGCCATTGCCATAGATTATGACCCCGTGGAAGGCTATATCTACTGGACTGATGATGAAGTGAGGGCCATACGCCGCTCGTTCATAGATGGATCTGGCAGTCAGTTTGTGGTCACTGCGCAGATTGCGCATCCTGATGGTATTGCTGTTGACTGGGTTGCCCGAAATCTTTATTGGACAGACACTGGCACTGATCGGATAGAAGTGACAAGGCTCAATGGGACCATGAGGAAGATCTTGATTTCAGAGGACTTAGAGGAACCCCGGGCTATTGTGTTAGATCCCATGGTTGGGTAAGGAGCTCTGCTGATAGAAAATTTTGCCTGGTGTTTCTGTTTTCCACAGGTCCCTGAAAGCATTGACAAAAACAATATGAAGCATGCATTGGTTTTCAATAAACAGCTCTTTAGTGGCTATTCATTTTTAGAACATACTGATTGGAATAAAATCTCAAGTTAAAGAATTGTTAGTCTTTTTTCCTTGAATGATTTGGAGAGTTTTTCTTTATAAATTAAGTCAGTGCTTGCTGACATCGGGTGTTGGCTACAGATTTTGTCGAGGTTGCATCATGACCATGAAAAATGTGGAAAGAAATTGTTTTCAGAACTCTTTCTCTTCCCCTAGATTTAATTTCATCCCATTTTTGGTCCTTCTAGAATGATACGGTAAAGGATAATCTAACTTTATATATCCCAAGATATATAAAAAAAAGAATTTTTTTTGGTCACAACACCCTGACCATAGTCCAAGGAAAACATAGCTTTCTATATACTCACCAATGTTATTTGTTACTATGCGACTCATTCTGAGGGTGAAATAATGAAATAACGACAAAAGTATTACACTTCAGTGTGTATCAATGCCTTAGAGCTACTTAACCTCCCAGGAGCCACAGCAGTTACTTAGTACTACAGAAAGAGTTCGTTTTTCTAGGAATTCAGTTTGTCATCTGAATATTACGACTGGGATAGCCTCTTTGTGTCAGAGATGACAAGCCGGCAAGAAAAAGAACTCACGGGGGCACCTGGCTGGCTCAGTCGGAAGAGCATGCGACTCTTGATCCTCTGGGTCATGAATTTGAGCCCATTGGTGGGTGTAGAGATTACTTAAATAAAAAATTATTTAGAAAAAAGAGATGATTATTAATGGGAAGGAGCACAAAATATTTTGGAAAAACATAACTAAAAATGAAATCTTATTATTGGAAGGAATTTCCATGATCAGTTCTAGAAAACACCGTTTGATCTGAAAATTTCCTACAAGCATATACACTGCTCTTATGTCTTAAACATAACTCTTGAGTATGTTTAAGTCCTGTTTTTTTCCCTTCTATGGTATTAACTGATACAAGTGTAGGGGTGGACCTCACCGTTAGGATATCTGAAAGTTATAGTTTATTATGTTTTTAGCTCATTTTCTGTGTACTTCTGTAGGTACATGTATTGGACTGACTGGGGAGAAATCCCGAAAATTGAGCGAGCAGCTCTGGACGGTTCTGACCGAGTAGTGCTGGTTAACACTTCTCTTGGTTGGCCAAATGGTTTAGCCTTGGATTATGATGAAGACAAAATATACTGGGGAGATGCCAAAACAGACAAAATTGAGGTTTGTTTCTTGCTTTTTCATTTTAAAGCCAGTTTTATAATGGTTTTTGAGTTGATGTTAGTTTGATGCAGATATTCTTGCCTCTTGTCCGGGGTGCCAGAGGTATCTTTTATGGAAGTTTTACTCGACCTTTAGGATTCTAGGCATTATGTATTTTTTTCACTGAACCCTAAGAGATTTCTGACCTATACTGGTATGAGAAGTGGACATTTCTCTATTTCTAGTTCTAAAAGCTTATGTGAGTGATTTTCCTCATTATGGATAAAGCCACTGCTTGAATTTCCTAGGGACAGTTTCTGCACAAAGCAAATATTACGTAAGACCTACACTGAGAGTGCTGGTTAGTCCTGTCAGGAGAACAGAGCCCATACGTGTATATGTAACTTTCTTTTGTTACTGGTGTTGGGGGCAGGTGGCATCATATTTTAAGTGTTAAGATGGTTGCATGCAAACAGTTTTTAAATTGATATATGAGCTGTGTAGAAAGAAATTAATTAACCAAAACTTGGAGAAAAATATTTACCAAATGGTAGAATTAAGTTGTGGCAGTCAGAATAGAATTATGGTGGAACTAACCAGTGGTGAATATGCTATCACAGTATTTTGTAAGTGGCATATACATTGAGGTTGAATGTGAACTCTAAATTTCACAACCTTGAGTTTGGCTGTGCTAGAGGTCTTATGGATCACATACTTAAACACAGTTCCTTTCACAGTATTTCTTTGGAGGGATGTGTGACTTCTTATAGAAGGAATGGCTCGGAATGACTCCTCAGAGCCACAGCACATAATCTCCTGATGGATAGCTAATTTGGACTCTAGAACAGTTATTTTAGAAAGGTAATTCTTAGGAGTGCCAGGGACTCTGAGGGAATAATGAATTAAAGGGCCTTCCTTTCAGAATGGAAACTTGGAATAGAAGAACCCATTAGTATTCCACAAGGCTCAAATACTGCAAACTGCATCTCTTATTCTTGCATCTGGTTTGCGTTAATAGAAAATTTTGCATAGACCTAACTGTATAAATTTTCTCCCTGTTGTTAGTGGTTCACTGCGTCTCACCTCCTTAATTCCGAGTTAGGGTTTGAATCTTTAACAGCTTAGAGTGCAGTGCTAATGAGACCAAAGTTATGATTTCAATTTTTTTTTTTTAAGACAGGCTGTTAGCCTCACTTGGGTCAGCCTGAGTACAAATTGATTCCCTTTCCCTAGCAGTTCACAGATATATATATTGTTAATCAGCTGTGGACTGTATATGAGGGTATCGGTATTACTACTCTTAGACAAATAGTTAAAAGCTCCTATGTCCTACAGGAATGTTGGTAGAGAAGAACACTTGGTTTATTATTTTGTAGGGATTTAAAAAATTCTATACTTGGTATTATATTTTTAAGGTTACTGTGACTGATTAGATTGTAAATAAAACATTTTTTCTTACCGGGAATTTTCCACACTTCAGGTCACTTTCCGTACTTTAGATATAGACATGTATTCAAAAATCACTAATAGTTTAGCAGGGATTTAGGTAGAGAGGTGAGAAGTTTTGGAGGTTCTAAGTGACAGGGTTGGAGAATAAGAATGAATCACATATAACAGTGTGTAATATTGATTAAATAGGATTTATTTTCTTGGTTTACAGTAAATACAGTAGATTGTAAAATTGGTATTCATTCAGGCCTATTCTGTCTTCTTGAGCTGTACATGTGTATACAGTGGTGTCATTTGTTCCTCACTTCCTTCTTTCTTCCTTTCCTTCTTCTTTGAGTGGTATCAGCATCCTTAAAAACCTGCCTTTCAGATCTGTTTCTCTTCTTCCAGGTTTGCTGTCTGTCCTCTTTTTGACAGATTACTGGGGGTTAGTGGTATATCTACCTCCACCAGATTATACACACATTTTCTTTGCCCTGGAGGTTCTGATGAAGTTTCTCTAACCGAGCATCAGTGCTTTTGTCCTTTTCTTTTCATAGACACATCGGGGAGATAAAGAGAGCAGTTATTGTTATTTATTCTCTTCTTTATGATGATGTGTAAAATTTCTGGTATATGGCATACTAAGAAAACAGCACCGCTCTCCATCTAAATTAATCTTTCATAATTGGGGGAGAAAAATTCTTCGTTTCACTTTCTGAGACTAGTGGTGGTTACAGGAGCAGCTGCCACAACCAGCTTTTCATCTCACTTTCCTTGATAGTAGGTTAGGTATAGTGAACTTGAAAACTTTTGGAAAAACACATAATTTTTTAAATGCTGGTTTTCATAAGGAGGTCAGTTGCTTTTGTTATGTAGCAGGTGATGCTAACTACCGATCCTGTTCTGGGCTAGGTGGCAGTACCCCCTTCCAGTCCATCCATTTAAGAAATCCTCCCAGTTAGGACTCCGCCAGTCACCTGAAGCTAAGTTAGCATTGTGTATCAACTACAGTTTAAAAAGAAAGAATGGAAAAGGGGCACCTTGGTGCCTCCGCCAATGGGGCATCTGACTCTTCATTTCAGCTCAGGCTGTGATCTCATAGTTGGAGAGTTTGAGCCCCACTTTAGGCTCTGCGGCAACAGCATGGAGCCCGCTTGGGATTCTCTCTCTCTCTCCCTCCCCCCCTCCCTCACTTGTACTCACTCTCTCAAAAATAAATAAACGTAAGAAGAAAAAAAAGAATGGAAGAAAGCTTCTCAGGTTTTTGTCATTCCCAAGAATGGAAGCTGCTTTTTCCAAGGACTGTAAGAAAATATTAAATAATAGTTGTGTAGCTCTGTTCCCTTCTGGAAGATTACGTTTACTTGGGATCAGACTACCCTATATGTGTTTATAGTACATTTGAAAAGAAAAGATTGTCATTTAGTAAATATATGTAGCAATTATAAGGGATAAGTAGCAAAGTAAGCTTTTGTGTTTTGATTGGGTCTTAGGGATACACTACCTGCACCTTTGGTGGAGATTGCTTAGATCAGGTTCTCCTGTTTTGTGTGAGTGGTGATATAACCAGATGTTGGGTATATTGGAAAGCTGCAGGTTTCAGATTTGATTTTTTATTGTACAGAGTTGGCAGAAAAAATAAATAGATTTATCTAAGGTTTATAACCAGCTTCTGCAAAGAGGAATTGCTAATGGTGTCACATTTTTTAAAAGACAGTCATAACATTGCCTGATGCTTTAATATAAGAATGTGTCTGTGAGGATATATCTGATTTCCCTACTTGTCAGGTGATACTGACCACTTACCTGTAGGTGTTATTTTAAAGGTACATGCTGGTACTTGTTTATGCTTCTTATTCATTATGCTTAAATCATTTCATCACCTTTTACAGACAAGCTTCTAGTTTACTTGTCTGCACTGAGCTCCCCGTCACCCCATACCTCTATGCCCACCCAAGTATTGCTATAGTGTTCTGGGGCTTCCTTATAATACATAAGAACGTATTAGCAGAAAGGATCATTTCTATTATTCTGGTAGAGGACAGTCATCAGATAAGCCTTTGTATCTATTTCATAAGACCCTGCAGTAGGCAGAAGCACATTGTGTCTTAACAGCATTCTTATTTGGATTGGTCAGGTTTCACTACCAAAAACATCTGTTGCACTGAGGGACTGGAATACTGCTTTTTGGTAGCAAAGGCCTATCATTGATAATTTCTAAGTTTAAAGCATTTTTTGCCGTTATGTAAAGTTAAGAATGTTGGGGGCGCCTGGGTAGTTCAGTCGGTTAAGCGTCTAATTGATTTAGCTCAGGTCATGATTTTGCGTTCATGGTTCGAGCCCTGCGTTGGGCTCTGTGCTGACAGCCTCGAGCCTGGAGCCTGCTTCAGATTCTGTGTCTCCCTCTCTGTCTGCCCCTCCCCCACTTGCTCAGTCTCACTCTTTCAAAAATAAATAAACATAAAGGAAAAAAATTACAAAAGAAAAAAGAATGTTATTAGCTTGGGTGTTGGTTTGTTTGTGTTTTTTTGAGGATGCTTTTCTCATTACATACTACTTAACCGACAATAAATCACTGTGTTTTAAATCACTGGTTTTATTGAAAATGACATTGTTGGGTTCAGTTTTTCTCGTAATTTATTTTTTTATTATATGCTTTTTGTTTTATTTTTTCTTCTTTCATTTCTCAGCTTCTGCTGACAGACACAGCAATACCTGGTAGTTATAGGTAAAGAGAGATTTCTTATCTACTTTAAGGGCATCTTGATTTGTTTTCAATCTCTTTCTGTAAGTTTCCCTGCTTTAGAGAGTGTCTGTAGGTAGTTTTGTCCAAATCTAATTACATCTGGCACAACTTTGGGAAACAGATTATTAGAACTTGGAGTATTAAGAAGTTTTGAATAAAGGGGGTATTATTGTGTAGGATGTGTGCTGAAAAGTTGGCAATTGGTGAATGACCTATTTTATATTCTAAGCCTGAAATCGCAGGGCTACATTTTCCCTTCATGACTACTTCCTCTATTTTATCAATAACCTAATAAGGGAATTTGTTTTCTAAGTAATCAGATTTCTTTGTAAAGTAATTTCTTTCTCTGGCATTTTTAGCCTGTGTATTGTGAAAGTCTGTTAAAACAAACAAGGGCCCATTTATGATGATTTTTCTTAGTCATTTGTTTCAAAGATTAATTCTTCCTTAAGAAATAATGTAATCATCTGCCATTGAGATAAAACTCTTTTGATTATATTACAAGTACCAACAAGTACCTTTTGAATCTTTGCCAGTTTATAACATTTACTGTTCCTTAAAATTGATTTTATTTTTCAGTTTCAGAGAAATATTCAAGATAATGAGCTTAAATACCTGAATCTTTGCCCCTTTCTACTATTTAAACCACTATATGTATGTAAATATATACTTTTTCGCCACATTTTGCTGACATATAATAACTGAAGAATGATATTGATAAACACCATCATTATATTCCTTAGCTCAACAGAATACCTGGATTAGGGGCTCATATTCGTTGCGTTGTAAACATGGCACTGTCCTTTTATATTACCTTGCATCTGTTTGGGGTATATCTTATGAT